ACAGATAGGTTTTAAGCAGTTTTTTGATATAGCTTTTTATAGCTTTTGTTTCATTTTTAGCTTTTGCACTAATCGATCTGTCTATAGGTTTTTCTATTGTAAAAAGAATCGAGATCACGTTTAAAGCGTTCTTAAAAGATTTTTTCTCATCTAGGCCTTTGCTTTTGGCGTTTGTAAGCGGTAACGCTAGGTGCCATTCTAAGATATTGAGAATGAAAATCAACTGTACATGAAAAAGTTCTTTATTACATGAGCTTTCATAAATACTTCCAACGGAATAAATATCTTACTAACAAAATATCGATACCCACAGAAGCTTCTATCCCCTTTCAGGCGATCGAACCAGTATGATTAGCAAAATCAATTGCAAGTCACAGTTCTAAACTAAAAACTGTTAGTGACACTCCCTTGACGGAGAAATACAGTCTGAATTTGTAAAAGTAATATACTTTGTCCGCCATTGTGGGTTGAACTTTTGAAAGACGAGATGAGTTTCATTTCGTGACCCGGCCGTTTTGAACGTTCTCTCGTCACACGAGGGAAGAAAGATTGCGCGACGAAACAATAACAAGAGGTTCTTCCTACGTGACAACGCCGCAAGATTTTCTACGTTTTGACGCAGACTGCGTGACCTAAAGTTTTGACAACCTTTAAGAAGTGGCCGACCAAAACCAAGATAAAGCTTGGACATACGTGTCCATCACAATCCTTCCCCCCNCCTCCCTCATAAAAAAAAAGGTATTGGTCACTTCATGTTGTAGAACTAAAACCATGGTCCTCTACTTAATCTGCGATATTGCGCGCAATAATGTTACGAAATTATACGTTGGCTGCAGTCACCATTTCATAACGTTATTGTGAACTCGAGGGCTTCGTGGCCGGGTCTGCAAATTTGCGCGCAATGACGTGCTATGTTTTATCATGTTCCCGGGCCGGTTAACGGCAAAAAAGGAACAAGCAACGAAAATGGCCCTGCGTCTCAGGTTTACTTCCTGAATGGCATAAGCATTTGGAAAACCAGCATCATACTTGATGACTGAGTTCCAAGAAGTTGTCGATGACTTGTGGCCACGGTAGAATGCGTTTCTTTTAGAAACAAATCCCGATGAAATCCATTGTGTTTATAATATTTTGTTGTTTTTTTTTCCATCTGCACACCTAGTCCGAGACGCGTCGCGGGACTCATGCTTCGCGCGTGGCCTGGAACCGATTCGCACAGTATTTTCCTGGGGGAGGCCGGTTAGGAGATGATTGGAGTCAGAAGAGCTTTGCTGTTTCTTGGACTCTTGTTCTGGTTCTCGTCCCGTGCCCCCTCGGTCACTCCAACTGATGTACGACTCACTAAGCTGAGATTCGAGGGTGACCGGACCTCTCCAAGACCTTCTGAAAATAAACGAAATAGTTAAAAACAGGAGCCCTGTTACAAATCAACAACAGCCGACTTCAGAGAGACACAACCATGTTTAATTAATGCTAAAACCCAATGAAGATAGTAAGAATTTGCAGGAGAGCCATAAATTCGTTGAGAAGCTAGTTAGAATGACTAACCATGTAGTCCAATATATTCCTCGAAGCCAACTAAAGTGACGTCATGATTACCTTTCGTCGGGGGCTGGCATTCCTCTTTCCATCTTCGCCTATTATCGGCCAGTGGCGCCACCCAGGCCCTCTCCTTGCCCCCATGCCCCTCTAAGCCAAGTTCAGCTGCGGCCTGCGAAGTTTTTGTTTCTAGTAGTATGTCCAACATTTCACTGACCACTTCAAATGCTGGCATTACAACAAATTCGATAAAACCTGAAGAAAAAATGGCTCAGATTCCAATTGATTATAGCAAAATATCAAAGTCACGATTAAAAATAAACACAACTGTCGCCCGGTTGTGGATTTGAGAGAAAACAACGCAGCATTGAACTGCAAGCTAGGCAATATTTGAGGCTGACAATCTTTTGACAGGTTGATATCTTATTTCATTTTCAATTTCTTAGATGTACATCGTTATAACAGAAAATAGCCGTTTTAAAAAAAATAAAAACGTTTTACTCTAATGGAAATAAAGCAATGTCACTTTTTAATTATTTGGCTTTATTTAAAGGTCTCGTTCGTGGAAACAGGAAAAGCCTGTTCCTAATAATCACGAACAACTAGTTATCACACCGCAAACGGTCATTTTCTCTGCCTTCCATATATCAGTTAGACGACCAGATTGTGTGACCGATCAAAAACAAAGAAAGAATTTCTTTGCACGCTATACGTACCTAGCTGACTCTCAGGGACACACGTAACGGAACGATCACATAGTGGAGATATGGGCAGTCCCATCTCCAGCTCACGGTCTCCCTGGAGATACAACAGGAGAGTATGCATGATAAGAAAGGGGGATAAAGTCACCCAACTTGGAGCCGGTGACAAAACCCGCACGACTCACACTACTTGAAGCCATGCTAACCGGAATCCATGCAATGGGACTGTCCTTCTCACTCGAAAGTTTTCGAAAAATGATTGCAAAAATTATTTTAAAAAAAGAATACCATCAGAGATGCTAAAAGCTGTAGATCTATTTACAGGAGACAAGTTAACTCTTTCAAATGAAATGTTCTACGCTCGTCTCGCTCTAATTTATAATTTGTCACTGGAAAAATTGAAATCTTTTATTTCTCTGAAAATTCGCTCCAGTTTTTCATGCAGGCGACAAGCCCGCCAGCCAGGCTGAATTTGGCCAAGTGCAGTAAGGTTTACCGAAGCTTTAGAAATGTAAAATTCTTATTTGCTGTTGGAAAAAGCAAAAACCCTAGAAATCCACGAAAGGAAAAACAAAAACGACGAAATGATAAAAAAACAGTTAAGTCACACACCTGACAGAAGAATTCTTCCATAATACGAGAAGTCCATTGACGGTGTAGTTCCCAGTCCTTCGCAGGATTGCTGATGTCGGCCACGTGGAGAATGAACTCCAGCGCCTGACTCTTTTCTATTTGACTTTAAAAGACAAGAATTTTTAAATTTCTCTCTGTAGCCAGTTGCATGCAAGCTAAATAGGCTCTAATTGAATTCTTAGATCTCAGTATCGTGTATTATGACGCAAAGTTTGCCATCCCATCTGGCAGCACAGCGCATTACACCTTCAGCAGGAACACGTGGCAATCAAGCCAAAATATTACCTGCTAGAAGTAGAAGATAGAAGGAACTAGGCATAAATTACAATATTTAGAGAAGAAGCCACATCAGCCTTAGCTGGTTTTCATGCGTGTCTTCTATCCTGGTGGAATTGGAATTTGGAGATATTGGTTTTTGTGGAGGGAGGAAAACCGGAGAACCCGGAGAAAACCCTCGGAGCAAGGCGAGAACCAACAACAAAGTCAACCGGAATCGAACCCGGGCCACACTGCATGGTGGGAGGCGAGCGCTCTCAACACTGCGCAATCCCTGGTCCCCAGGCATGTTGTTTTTCTCTGGATGGGATACTAGTCCATGGCAGATTGCCACATATAGCATTAGCAGTCAGCTGGTTCTAACAATTTGCCGTTTCCCATTTAAACGGGTATTATGAGGACAAAGTGTCTTTTCCAGGTCAAAAAAACCAACGTGAGAAAATGTCTTGAGGCGATAGCCGGATTTCATATCTAAACGCATACAAAAATAGCCTCTCGGTCAGGAGGATTATTGTAGCCAGTTACCTCTCTCCTCCTCAGAGGCAAGAACGTTCGTTAAAGAAATCCACTGTGCGAAGTTAGTGCAGGCGCAAAGTAGCCCTGCGCCTGCACCAACATCACTCAGTGGATTCTCACCTTTGAGCAGGAGCCTCTGCGGAGGATAAAGGACAGTCACAGGTGACTGAATTGTCACTAACAGCTGTAATAGTAGCTCAGTAATGGTCACTGAAAGCGTCTTACCTTCCAAGAACTGATAGAGCAGCCTTCATGGCTCGAAGTTGTTCAAAATGCGAAGACATATCGGTGGCCAGTACCATGTCTACGACAAGCGTGCGTAGATCACTGTAAAAGACACCATGCGAACGTAAATACAAGACCAGGGAAATGGTAAAGACTTCTTTATGCAGACTGTTTGCAATGCAATTGACAGGAACAAAGATGCATGTCTGTAATTACAATAGATACATCTTCCAAAGGAGGATAAACGAAGTTGATTTCCAGTAAGAAAAAGAGAACGCCTGAAATAAAATATAGGATGTACCAACCTGTATTGTTCGGACGTCAAATTTGCAAGGATGTCGAGTTCTCGCTACAAAAGAAAAGAACATAGTTGTTAATAAAAGTTTGAAGTTGTTCTTCAGTAGCATGTTGGGTGGTTAGATAGTCGACGATTGAACTGAGACCTTGGGCTACGTTTATTCTTTTTATTCCAAGCTTTAGCCGATCTACGGCATCGTCAGGAAATGTAAAAAAAATTATTCCACCAGTGCCGTAAATCGGCGAGAGCTTAAAATTAAAAGAAGTGACTGTAGCCCCGGCTCAAGTCCTCAGTCGAATCGTCTATTTAACGATAGTTATTAATGATTGCAGTTAATTTAATAAGAAGTTTCAGAGTATTACTTTTCAGAATAGCGAATTTAACAAAGGTGGATAGTTTCCATGAGATTATGACAAGAGTAATTAATTAAACTGAATACAAAGCTAAGTATGGCTGAACATTGTATTAAACAGCAGATTATTCCTCGTCGGTATAAAGAGAACTTACCGATTTTAAAAGCGTGAATGCGGAACATAAGTGATGGTTTTCCAATACACAGCGATCATTATACAACAGTGCTAGTTCAGATCTGAAAGCAAACGTTTTCTTTGAATGAGAAAATCTCATTGTCCACAGGGCTCCCTAGCTCTACAGAGACCCATGTAGTGTCTGTTTTTGGGTTGTCGCTGGGTTATTATTTCCCTTATCATATGACTGAGAAAATTATTTCATTGTAATTGGCTGAGAGCAGGCAGTTTGTAAGAAATTCTTAATTTGCACTGCAGTGCAAATTAACGCGCACGCGTTCGCAATTATCTCAGTCATATAATTAATGAGTAATCGTATGAACGCTCGGGCAATTAAAGATCTACACTACTCGTGATATTTGGAAGATTCTTTTAAATTGCACTCACGCAAAGGCTCGTGCAGTTTTGAGCGGAGAATTTCCAAATATCACTCGTAGTGGAAATCCTTAATTGAACACGCGTTCACATGATTATCTATACATATCAAATTATTGAGACGAGCTAAGAAAATCTAGCCAATCATAATTCTTCATTTGTAATTTCCTATCTTTAATTATTATTTCACTTTTTTTCTCGAGAATAGAGTTACCTGTGATCAAAAGATACGTTCACAAACCACTAATAGGCATTTAGGATAATTGTAAGTTACCTCGAATTGACGTGAAAGTTGTTTGTAGTCCCAGTATGATCTACATCGTGTATAATAGCGGAAAGAAGAATTCCAAACACTTCTAGGTCACTCATACAATGCTGCAATGGCAAAAAAGAGATTTGTTCTACATTGGAATGACCTAAGTTTCATTCATCAGCTTTTGGATAAATAGATCACAGTGTTGAACTTACGCCTTTCTGGAACGGATTTGGTAAGCACGACACCGAAAATGTACTCAACAATGTATTTAAAGGAGAATCTTATTTCACAACAAAGCGCAAATCCTTGAAAAAATTTCCCTCCCGTAACGACGGAGGTCCGCATCTAGCGTATACTTCATGATCAGTTACAGACAGTATCACCGAAGAAGAAAAACCTTACTGAGAGTATTTTATATCAAGGCGTTTTCTAGCGAATTAAGAACTACCTTGGTGAAAAACTACCTTGTGATTATTCAGATGATCACGAGCCAGGCAAAGTGAAGAGTGTAATGATGCGCAACCAAAAGGGGGCGAGCGCAGTGTAACGCGCACTTAATAACGGTATCATTGAGAAAGCTGTGGATTCTGATTGGTTGGAAACAAAACGCGCTCTTTACCTCTCGCCTGAGCACGCGCACCATTGCCTGAACAAAAGTCTAGCCTTAAAATATCCCATTATGATATCGTTATATTGCTTTTTTTTCTTCCAGGTAAAAGACATAACATCACTTTGAACAGTCTATGCTTTCTTGAAGTGGAACGAAAAGATCAAGGTTATTGGACTCTGGGAACTGATGTGCAGAATCCGTGACATCACTTACCATCAGTCCGACGCGTGACAGGAAATAGTGCACAGAATGCGCCACGTCAGTTGCGTGAAACTCGTTGTGATAACGGTTGCAGGGTCTCTTATACCCTTCCTCGATCGCTGATAAAAATCGATCTAGTGTTGCCGAGGTAATCTGTTAAAGAAACAAAACGTCTCACTTTGCTTATTGAGCAGAGAGATTTCATTTCCTTGAGCTATTTGTAAGCCTTCTGTGTGCCTTCCAGTTGAGAAGATACAAAAACGTAGAATGAATACAAATCTAATCCTAACAGGAAGAACTGAAAACTCGGGTGTTTTTTTTATTAGAGCAAGTTCACATGTTAATCAATCCCTTTCTTGGCCTGGTTGATGCTTATTTGTTTATATATATTTGAAGATTTGAACGCACTTAGGTAAAAAAAAAGCGACTAAAAATAATGTGACATGGAAAAAACTAGCCTTCTAGAGCCACAGAACCTCACTAGTTATGGCTTCTCTTTTTTCAAAGAATTGCACATAAACAGTATATTCATTCTAGTTTAGTTAATTATAGGTAACTTGTTTATTCAGTGTCAGAAACAAAATGACAAGTAGCATGACGTCAACACTCTAATAGCCTTGGAGACGAAAGAGTTTTAAATACCTTGAATTTGGCCAGGAGGTCATATCGTGTGAAGAGTTCATGACCTAGGTAACGAAGAGGATGTCCTACAGTCACATCACCAAACGCAAAGGGGTCAAAAGTCCACTTGTCTAAATTCTATGAAGAGAATATGAAAGAGGAACCGTTAGATGGAGAGAAAAGAATACGCAGAAAGGTATGCAGACGCATAGAAGTGGAGCCAGACAGGCAAATGAACAAATAATGAAACGGACAATGAAACAGACCTACCAAAGAGTCAGATGGACCAACAGAAATACACAGACAGACAGACTGACAGACACACACACACAGACAGAAAGACAGACAGACAGAAAGAGGAGGAACAGAGGGAGGGAGGCAGACAGAAAGACAGACAGACAAACAGACGGGGAGGGAGTGAGGTAGGCAAACAGACAGACTGACTGACGGCAGATAAACAAACAGACAGACAAACAGACAGACAGGCAGGCAGACAGACAGAATGATAGTTTATAATCCTGACTTTTGCATTTCGTTTTATACATACTGACCTTAAAGTAAAGTTGAACTTCTTCTGGAACTTGAAATCTCGATTTCTCAGCCATATTTTGATAAATTCTACAAGAGGTTAAAATGGGCAACACATTAGTTAAAAATAATAACCAGAATCATAAGGAAGGTGAATGATTGTGCATCAACATTTCAGTAAGGCTCGATTACTAGCCGTTGTTTGCGTAAGAAGAACAGGCTCCTTTACCGGACCGTATTCGAGAGAGTGGAGGAAATCGAGCCTCTATTTCAGTGGGCAAAAAATTATATTTTTTCTAACTCTGTAAAGCGATTGTACTCTTTGTCGACTGTTTCCTGTGTAAAATTGTATTTTTATTATTTGTTTGTTTACTTTCGTTATCAGCTTTTTGACCGCTTCCTAAGGAATACTGTACCTAACGAAGGTTTGGCTGGAACAAGACCTAAAATGTCACTTTTCTTGTATTATCCAAATGGGGGCCGTTATCATCAAAGACTTACAACTCACCGTTTTACATAAAGACTAGCTTTTACAGCTTGTACGACGCTGCGAAATGTATGCCTCCTGGCCAAACTCTTTCTGCGCATTCCCGGTGTCGTTCGCGCAAATGTCGTGGCGATCCACTCTCGGACCTCCTCGTTGACGTCATCAGAGTAAAGGCTACTTTCTAATTCTTCATCAAGATCACTCAAAGCGCCTGTGGAACCCCTGAAAAAATGGAATAACTTTTGAGCGTAGTTTATAAAGCGTCTGTTACGCACGGGAACAGCGTTAAAACGCACAAAACATGAATTTTCTCTAGAAGGTTTAGCAACATTGCTCTGAAACACACAAAACTATCTCATAGCCATTGAGGTAAATTTCATGACTGAACCATGTTGCAGAGTGTCCGGTGGAATATTAAACCCTCCCATAAAGAAACACAGTGCGATAGATTACAAGTAAACAGGCAATTACTCGCATTTCAGAAAATGTTGCAACGTTGAAAGTGTCTCTTTAACCTGATTTATTGTATGCTATGCTGTCGTGACATCTGAGTCACGTGACATTTCCCGCCCTTTTGACGGGCTGCCCTACGCGTCTGCTTCGGCTATGCTGTCGTCATTTGTCTAACTAGATTTTTCGCACGCTTCTCCAAGCTGTCGGCTCTCACTAAAAACAGTCTTTCATAAAAACATGAGATCTTTAGACGCTTCTTTTAGTGTTTTCTTCCATACCTGTAATCTCTCAGGGGTGCTGCGGCCGTTGCTTTGTCCAACATGGCGACAGCAATTCCTAATTCTTGTTTCACGTCTGTCACTGACAAACTATTCCCAGAATCCAGTTGATCCATGATTCCACGTAATCTGAATGTTTTAAACAAAAAAGACTAATTAATAATTGAAAGTTTCCAAAACAAATATTGGGCTCGCATTTTAATTTTGAGCTGCTTAAATTAGGCGGACAAGACCTTGACATATCAACACGACACGACAAGTCATTAAAATAATTTGAGTTTCCACAATAGTTTAGCGCGCCAGGTAAAAACGTTTGACCTCTCTTATTTTATGCATACATAGGATCATTTATTCAGTGTGAGGTAAAGTCTGCATCGTGCCAAGTGGTCCATGCAGTCAGAACCGTAGCAATTAGGAGTATATCTACTTCTCCCCAGATGGGACGCTAGTCCACCAATCATGGCAGGGTTACCTCCAGCATTAACTATTTCGGGACCCATTTATGAGTGGAGAGAAGCACTGCGAGAGTAAAGTGTCTTGCAGAATTACACCGTACTCTATTACTAACCCCCACCAGGGCTCGAACCTGGATCACTCGATCTCGAGTCCAGCTTGTTAATCATTAGANACAAGCAAGCAATCAATATGTCAGTCAGTAAAAAAAACTAAGACCATTGTAATTCATAGCCAATCACCACGGCACAATACAGCGTAAGAAACCAATTAAAACTCGAACCGAAATCATGTGACTGATGCAAGGTACGGGAAAACATGTTACCAGTGTCAAGCGCGGGAAAGCGTATGACCAGTGTCAAGCGCGGGAAAACATTTAGCTGGTGGCAAGCGCGGGAAACACGTGCAAGCCACGTCGTGATTGGCCATGGCTCAGCGCACTGCTTCGATTGGCCAAAAGGACGTTTGTTCTGATTACTTTGGACGCTGGACAACTTTTTTAAGCCAACTTGATGTAAGTCTATTACCAAACTAAATACAGTTTCTATCAGTTAATTAAAAACGGTGTACTTTCGATTTGGTTATCAGTTTTTGCAGTATTTCTGTTATCCCAGTCAATTTCGAAGAAATATATTGCGAAACGAGAATAAAATGACGCTAACACTAAAACCGGTTTAACAGGATAGTCCTGTTATCTTATCCGATCGCGTGCAACGAAAAACAGAGCAACAATATTTTAAATCTGATACTCAGACATACAGATATATTTGAACCACCAAAGCAATTTTGAGTGCATGTGTTCGTTTTATTAAAGATGACTCTAAAAAATATTCTTGGCGCGGCTTTCGTCGCTTTAGTTCAACTTCTCATTTCTCCCTTGAATATCAAAGTCTAGCAAAATAGACAAGAAATAAGAAAATACGAACTATCACAGCCCAGCTAGAATATTTCTGTAAAAATATTTTCGTAATCGGCAACTGGGAGGATATATATTATAGTTGAAAACTGTTTTAGTATATTATATAAGAAACTGCCTTACTGATTACACAGTGGCTGGTAGACATTTTGCGCCATTTGTCAATCATTTATCCTTGTTTAATTTAATAAGAAGAAGAGGTTTTTGGCATACAAGAATTAGTTTTCGCAGGCGGAAAAAGTGGTGGTCAGTGTGAACACAGAATCAGTAAATGTGAAAAAAAAATGTGCAATGATATGCTAGGATTTTGGGAGCGCTGGCAAAGGAGAATAAAAAAAATAATTGCCTTACCCGTACTGTACGCGGCGCCATGATTTTATTTTGGGTAGTTCTGATCATATAATGTTTAGTAATTAAGCTCACTTTATGCAAATTTAGATTGAAATAAATTGTCTCGTTACTCACAAAAACAAAACTACCATAATAACGAGAAACAGCCGGAAGAAAAATACGCGTTTTTAAAGCACTCCGTTTGTTGCGAAACGTGCGATACGGCATTTGTAAACTCCAAAGAACTAGGTGTGGAAAAAATATCATTAGTTGTTCTATTACTGTACTCTCAGTACAACTAAGAAATAATTTTTGTGCATATCTACACTTATTGAACAGCAGATAACTCAGTTTTAACCCCAGTGCTGATAAAATTTGATATCCGAAAATAAAACGCAATATTGGGATATACCCGAGTGAGATAGCAAAAAATATTTACATCAAACTAAAGGGGTTTGACTTGTGTTTTCCCTTGTTTTGCGTCAGCGCCATTTATCTTATTAAATAAGTAAGTTGATATGTAACAAAATTCTGGAAGTTAAAATTATTCTGCCCCTGAAGGAAGTTGATAACTTCTCGTATTTTTCAAAGCAGGAGGCAAGGTCGGACTGAGCAATCTGAGTTATATGTTTTGAAAACAGAAATTGTTTGAATTGCACGGAGACTTCCTCTTCACCTGTAGATAATTAAAACCAACAGTTTTCATTCACTTGATGTCCAGCGAATTGCACGCTATTTTTTTTTAGAAACAAAATTTCCTTTTTACAGATTGTCAAGCCTGATCATATAAAAATGGTTTTAGAAAATACCACAATATGCGGTTCACCAACATTTCTTAATACTCGCGATGCAATTTGCCAGTGCCAAAAGTCGACCTGCTCGCGGGCAATTTCATCAGTTTTCCCTCTTACCATATTTGATGTGTTTGCCCGTGGCAGCTGGTTTCACAAAGACTTGGACATGGCGGTTCCAAGAGATCGAAGTTCTCATTTTGTTCGACGAATAAACCATCGAGACGCGGTTAAAAATCGCTGAAAAGCGAAATCGACAACCGCCACGGTAGCAAACGGAGAGAATTTCCTCGAGACAATTCTATACTATCGCGGACATTTTTATCCGCGGCGCCAACGCGTCTAAAAGGGTACGATTATGAAACACGGTTATGAGGACTTATAGTAAAATAATCATTCGCGCCATCAAATAACATATACCGGCCGAATCTGTGATGGCTAAAGTTCTGATAATTAGCAGATTGTTTGCTAGACGTAGATCTAATTAGCATTCGAATTCCCGTTCTTCAGTCCAGTTTAAATTTTGAGATCCTCGGCTCAGTCAGTTACGACCCTAAAGCGACATTCTGTTTTCTGTTTAAAACATAAAAACGCCCGCACGCACAAGCCACAAAGAGACGAATGACCAATTTCTTTTCTTTTCCTAAAGTTCTTTAGGAACCTTTTTGTTTCGTTTTTTTGTTAGGGCATAATGCAAAAGTCTTATCCAAGTTGACAATTTTAGCAGACGAAACAAACCAAAGAAAGACAGGTGAATCGGAGCCGGACAGAAAATTAAAAAAATTAAAATGCCACACTGGTCACTTCTGCAACCAGCTCGCCAGATCTCATTTTTAAAGTGTTTTTCAGTGATCTGTTCATTTTGAGAGCGAAACCTGACAAGTATTTCTTTAACGAGGCGCTCAAAACACAAACCATCTAATGAATGAAAAAAAACCAGCGCTGAATAAAATATTTCTGAATGCGAATATTAAGCATTTCAAGTGGGACTTTCGGAGGTAAGAAATAAATTGAAATCGCTTTTTCAGAGACGAATAAAAAATTGCGGATCGCTGAGAGTTTCTTCAAAGAGTGAAACAGATATCTTTGAAAAAAAAAAAAAATAGCCGAGTATATATGTATAAAAAAATTGGGAGGGAAGTTGTAATGCGTACATTCGTTTTAGACACAATACATTTTTCATAAATTTATAAACAAACTGGCTCCGTCGACTGTCAATGCTTTGACAGCTTTGTAAAATGAACAAGAAATGTGAAAGTTAGTCTTACCTTGAGTTTCATCAACTCGGTTGTGTACACTATACTTGCTATTTTGTTCAGCATCTTGAGTTTTTGTACAAGCGGTTCCCATTAGAATCGAAGTGACCCGGCGATCAAGCGCAGAGCGCTATCGCTGACATCATTTCAAATTCAAAGCCAGCACGCTTGCCAAGATTTCAAAAGCTAGCCTGCCATCTGCCCGTTTATGAGGGCAAAACAGACCAAAATAGATTTCTCGCCGCCAATGTTTTCCCGTCTTGAGCAGCGAATTCTTCTATTCCGTTAACGATAACCAATTTCAATCACTGCCGTTTTCAAATGTGGTTCCAGGGCAACGGGCCTACGTGTTTGTTGACTATTCACACTTTAGCACGAGGCCGTGTTTTCACATGGGACATGAAACTCGGCGTGATATTTCAGCCGACTTCGTATGACTTTTCCACAAAAGACCACAATTAGGATATGAATTGTTAATTAAGTTGTTATTACGTTGTTTCAATGGACGAGATATTGCACTTTACCGCAAAAATGACACAGTTTTTTCGCGACCTTTTCCCACAGACAGTCTGACTTTCTGGGTATTGAAGTTGCGTTTAAAAATTCAAAAAGCGCAATTTTGCGTTTATTTTAACAAAATCACTGGCTGGTTGCTAGCCACATAGACACTGACATAAAATTCGCTTCTACAAAGGCTCTAGTTGTGCAGAGCGAAATCGTGGTAAATTGTTTTCTGCGGTAATAACAAATTATGTAAAATTTCCAAATATATGTTTTAAGTCGGAGTCAACGCAAATACAAAGAAAAACACAACATTTCGTGGCCTTTTAGCGCAAATCTGTCAGGAAAAACGCGAGTGGCGCGGTCTGGATTTGCGGCCGGCGAAATGGTTAAACCTAATACGCAATGCGCCACTTTAAAAAACCAGCAAATATTGCGAGATTGTGATTGAATGCAAATTTTAATCACTTCCTGGGGGATGGGTAATGACTTATAACAATAAGTTCTTAGAACCATCGCTCATTAGAATTAAATGATTTCGTTTAAAGCTTCGCACTGAAAAACGTTTTGGAACTGGATAACTAACGGTCATAAAAACAAAGACTTATCGCTCTCTACTTGTTGATTTTTGTAACATTGACCGAAAGATAAAATCTTTTTAGAAAATACATACAATCCTCTTTCGCTCTTTAGAAGATACTTTTGTTCAAGCTTAAGGCTATAAATTGATCTCGCAGATTTTGTTAAAGTACATGTACAAACAGTTGTAACATTGTTATTAAATGGGGAACGGAGTGTGCGTTCATTTCCAATTAGTAAGCGATGGTTACTTCCAAAAAGATTGATGTAATTCTAGTAATTACTCCGGGACATTTTGAATTTTTAAAATGTGGGCTGCGCAAATTTAAATTTTTACCAGCTTTACATTGTATTATTCTTTCTCCTCATCAATATTAATCGAAGAACTAATAAATCACGTGCGGACAACTGAGCAAAATGATATCTAAATCAAAGATGTAACTCAGTTGAAAATTAGATTTCTGTGTTCGCGTTCCCAGTAGCTTGCCATGACGTGTTACAAGCCATCTTAGCAATCATTTAGCTCTAAAGATCTTAGCTTTAATCCTTGTTCCAAATAATTCATATTCAATTACCATGTTGTGACGTGTTTTTCATATTGTGTTCAGACCATCTTCTGTATGTCACAGCTACCTTGGGGACTATACAAAAGATCTGTATGATTCTGTAGCCCATCCAAAGCCAATTTAATCTCGGTCTTGCTGATCGCTATACCGATATTTTTCCTGGATTTAGTTTTGTCGTTACGACCCTTGTCTGCTTTGTTGTTCTTTTTGCCGGTAAACAAGCCATTGCAAAAGCGCAATAAACTCGATACACAAACATATATCGACAGCATGCATTGCAATGTGTTATTAACTGCGGCCAAAACGCAACCAAATTTTCAAAAGAATTTAGCCTTGCTTTAACATGAACTGTTTTAATGGCAATAACCTCGATTCTTTTTCGTTTTTGTACACAAATCCGACAGACATAGTGTCGTGCACGAGAATCAAGTTGCCAATGATTTGCTAAATTTTGCACGAGTACTAATCGTTCTAAAGACGACTTAAGCCTGCCTTTGTTTTCCATTTCTATAACACAACCAAGTTGTTAAATAGCGATTAACTCAAGAAGGATTAAGGAAGCTAATTTTCAAAAGCGTCAAAGAAGCGAACCATTTGCAAGATGTTCGAACCCTCAGGAAGAATTTAACTTTGACCTCAAGCATTTGTGTACACAAACAGACATTTAATATTTAATGCAGCCGGGTGTTAGCTTAGCCAGCAAGCCACCGCCTTACTAATTTTGAAAGTAAACAAATCTTTTATATCTTACTTAAACAAACCGGTCAAATACAAAAGGTTAGCTCAAGCATTCTTTACACGGACCCTGATTAACAGCGTTAAACTTTCGGACAAGCTGAAGTTTTCAAAGTCCAATTTCTTTCTCTACACCTAGTATTTTAGTATAGGAACTAA